TACAACTTATCCTCTCTTCAAGAACCAATACCTAATTCAATTAGAGTACTGGCAACTATGTATTATATTTTAAGCCCAGAAAATATTCTAGACCAAAACCCAGTTTTTCTTCTTTGGTCTGGGAGACCTCTGAATTGAAACTTAAGGAAAAAGGGATGGGAGTGGAGGAAGGGGTCTCTTCTGCTTTCCCTGCCCCATTCTCCAGAGCAGCTAGATTTTAAGCCCATAGAATGGCCTAGGTAATTCCAAAAGCTACCATCTTATTATATGAGGATTGGGAAAGAAGCAATTTATGAGTAAATTAGACTGATTAGTGACTTAGAAGAAGCATCAGCGTGCCTGGAAATTTGAAGCTTATAGTCATGTGTTTCCTCTCCCAACATACCTAACAAGGCAGGTACTCTGGTCTCGGCAACTGTACTCTTTCATATCGTGTGAAATAAGCCATGGGGGTAGCAGAATCCCATGAAGTCAGTCCATTTTTTTTTTCTCTGAATCTGAAGATTAGGGCTGACGGAGGTACACCTGGCCTTTTCCAACGTCACATTTAACTATGAAAGGGAAAAGCTCAAGGATGTCTGTTGCCAAATGTTTTCTTCTTGTTTCCTGTATGAGTAGCTAATTGGACCTTTTGTATCCTGTCTATAAATCGCGATCTTTCCGTTAGTAGTAATAAAAATACCTGTAGGTTCTTAGAATTGTGCTCTGGTGTAACTGTGGTAATTGACCATGAATAAACAGCATGTGGCAGGGATATGATTATTTGACTTTCAGCAAGGAAGCCCTCTGCTGGCACCTGATGCGACAGATTGAATTTGCTGTAAAACACTGATGTCTGTGGCTGAGCCTGAAATGAGAGAATGGGCCACAGAGCTTGCAAGGATGTAATAGGAGGAAGATTGATTCTGTTTGGATCCAGAATAAGCCCAGAGGAGTAATCAGGTACAGGAAGTGCCACATAGTAGCTAAGATCTGGGCCAGGGTGGCAGCTGGAGACATATTTCCTGTTTATGGAAAAGTGACAGTGGGCTTGACGGCATCTCAAGAAGAGGGGACAGGGGCAGGGGATGAGGAATGAATGTCTTTGCCCTGTCTGACCGGTCAGTTTGGCAGTTGCCAGATCAGTGCTATCTCGTCGTGGATTTGGAGCACACACCAACTGTTCTTTGGTGTCAGCTGACTTATTTTGTCCTCTAAGGATCAGCTGTACATATGGTGGATGTTGGGCTAAAGTGAGATAATTAACAGATACAAGATGCGTCGAAAAGTCAAGCTGCTATATGATTAAAAGGGAGAGAGTATAGAGTCAGAGGTAAGAGCATGGACTTTTTTTTTAGCAAAAGGATTGATGTGACAGAGCACATTTTCAAAGTATGTACATCTCATGTTCAGGGCTCTCTGAGAAGGGCACAAACATTTATTGGCTGTACTATGCATTAAGGCACAGGCTGAATGTCTCACCTATGTCATTTCATTCTACCCTCTTGGTACTTTCAAGTAGGTAATTGTGTCCTCATTTTACAGATGAGGAAATCAAGATAAATAACCACTGAATAAATTGTTCGTGGCCATAATTGAGCTGGGATGAAAATTCATGTTGATTCTATACTCTTTTCACTATCCCACGATGCTTTCCAGTATTAGATGGGCTCTCCTAAGAGAATAAATAATCTATTATCTTTGGGCCTTTAAAATTGTCACGTAAAACACTATAAGAACAAGTTAGTGGAAGCTTATTTCTCTAACCAAAAATTAAAAAAAAAATCTATCTTGGAGTAAAATGATGTTTAAAGCAGATTGAAAGCTTATTTTAGCCTTCCCTAGGGAATGAAGTATTGAGCATGGACTTTTTATCATCCCGAGACTAGCTGTGTGCCTTTACCAAGTTACTTCCTCTCTCTCCACTTCCCTCATCACGCTGTAAAGTTGACCCAGCGCTCTCACTGAAGGCCAGGGGCCACTGAAGTGACTTTGGCACGGCAGCAGTGGTCAGTGCAGTCACCGGTAGAACAGCCCCTCCCCTACCTAGATCACCATCTTCCTCTGTCGAAGTTCTTCAGTCTCCTCCCACATGCTACAGCTAATGGGCTCTTTTCGGTTATCATCCTATTTGGCTTCTCTTCAGCCTTTCCTGCATCTGAGCACGCCCTTCTTAAAGTTTTCTGCTCCCCTGGCTTCTAAGACAGTCCCTCTTTTCTGACTCTTCACAGATCTCTCTGACCCTTGCTTCTAATCTCCCTTCTTAGATGTTCCCCTCTCCGGCTCTCAGATCATGGTGTCCCCAGGGCCCTGCCCTTAGCCTACCTCTCCTCAGATCTCCTGCACCATCTTCCTTTTTCACCTCATGCTGTCTCAGGCTAATGTCTCCTAATCCACGTCCCTAATCTGGGGTGCCTGTGTGTTATATGTCCACTGGCTTACGGGACATGTACACTCGGATGTCCCAAAGGCATTTCAAAGTCAATGCACCTAAAGGAGAAGCATCTTTCCCCTAAGATCATGTTTATCCTCCTGTGTTTTTCTGGGACCTCATCCACCCAGTCACCCAAGTGTGAAGCTTGAGAGACATCCTGTATTGGCCCATTTTCTCAGTCTCCGGATGACATCAGCTTTCAAGTCTGGCTACTTCTGCCTCGTCAGTGTCTTCAAGCAGTTCCTTCCTCTCCATGCTGCCACCACTGAGATGGCTTCCTAACTTGTCTCATGCCCTCCGAGTGGCTTAGATTCACCCACCACTGCCAGAACCAGCTTTCTGGTGACCAAGTCAGAATGGCAATGGCCCCGGCCCCTCAGAGCTCACAGCACACGACCTATGAAGCCCTTACTGATCTTTCCTACTCTGCCACTCTTGCCGTGAGCCCTCTGCCCCACCCCTGCAATCACCCTGCGACCCACCTACCTATTTCCCTTCAGCACCGTGCCCCGGTGCCTTTGCACATGCCTTTCTTTCTGCCTGGAAATGAAGATCTAATCGGTTAATAATGGATATTAGGTTCTCCAGTGTCACCCTGTATAGAATTTACCACGTTATTTTAGGCTACTTACAGGGGTATGTCTTCCACAAGACAGAGGTTTCCTCAGTCCAGGGATCTGTCCTGTTCATCTTTGGTCCCCAGAACCTACTATGGTTTCTGAGACATGGTGGGTGTCCACGGCACAGAATAAACGAACAGAAACAATTTCCTTATTCCGAGTGGGCTCTCTACCTCAGCAGCTGACTTTTCTGGAGACCTGCTCCCTCTGGCTCCTCGCGTTCCCCCGCCTCTCAGGTGATGGGCAGCCGGGTGGCTCGCTGCCTTCGGGCTGGGCTGGGCTGGGCTGGGCGGTTGCCCGCGCGCCTGCGCCCTCTGCTGCTCCTCTCTGGGCGCGTCTGTGCGCGAGGGTCCGGAGAGGCTAGGGAGACAGGCGAGGGGTGGGGGGAAGAGTTCAGCCCGAGTCACAGACTTCATTCACTGATTCCCGGCGGCTGGACCGAGGCTGCCTCCTGAGGGGACTCCCAACTACTCTCGCACCTCCAAGGTCCCCACCTCCCGCCGTTCCACTCTCAGCCGAGCAGACGGACCGGCTGACTCACGAGTGAGTAGCGGCGGCTCGTGCGCCCCGGCAGCGCGGCGAGCTGTCCCTGGCGGGCCTGTCCTCCTGCGGGTGGTGTGTGTCTGTGTGTGTGCGCGCGCGCGCGCGCAGGAGGTGTTCCCCAGGGCGCCACGCCGGCCCCGAGAGCCGCCGGCCGGGGTCCGTGTGCCCTTCCGAGGCTGCGCTGCGGTGCGGGTGCCAGCTCCGCAGGGGCTCGGGCGTCCCCGGCGCGGGGAGCGAGTTTGCCGGGATTCCCCGGCTCGGTGCGCGGCAGCCGGTGGGGTTCCCTGGGAAGGCGCCTGGGCAAGGAGGCGGCGGGGAAGCCCCGGCTGTGAGTGGCTGGCGGGCCGGGAATCTGGGAGCGGGGCTGGCACAGCCGAGCCGAGGGAGACGCCGGAGCGGCCGCCCCTGGATCCCAAGCTCTCCGCCTTTCTCCCTTACTCTTCCTCCTTTCTTTTCTCAGCAGCATCACAAAAGCGCGCGGCAGAGTGAAACCCAATGCAGCGAAGTCCGGCTCTTTTCTCCCACCTGGTGCACATCCCCCCGGGCCGGAGGAATGGAGTGGGAGTCCCCGAGATTTGGGGCGCAGGTTTACCCCGGGGACACTCCTGTTTTCGGCTCGCGTTGAATTCAAGCGGAGCGCTCGAGGGGGTTCCGACACAGACACGCGGGTGTGTGTGTGTGTGTGTGTGTGTGTGTGTGTGTGTGTGTGTGCGCGCGTGCGCGCACCCGGAGCCCACGCTCGCGGGCTGCGCGGGATGTAAATAGCACACCTCCCTGCCCGCCTGCGAGTGCCAAGCCGGATCCGTGGGCTCCCAGCGCGCTGTGACAACGCGCCGGCATCTCTTTGTTTGGTTGTGGCTTCCCCACCTCTCCGCAATGCAAATTGATTTTCTGTTTCGCTTGACACAGCGCGCTGGGACTTCGTGTGGGCCGCAGCCTCGAACGCTCCTGGTGTTTGTAATTGAATAGTTCTCCCAGGCGGCTGGGGGCAGGGGTGTTATTTTTAGTGTTGGGAATAAAGAGGCAAGCAAAGCACTCTGACCTTTTTGCTGTTGCCTTGGGCTTTGAATACGTGTCTCTGATGGAGAAGACGGATTCACATCCAGTCGCGCACACGTGCCTGCGCACAATTGTGTACACACATTTCTACACACCTAGCTTTCCCCCTTTCTTTTATTTTTAAAAATCGGGAGTGCGAGTGCACAGTGTTTGTAAACCAAAACCAAAACCAAAAAACTTTCCTTTGTTCTTTTGGGCCCTTTCCATTTTGAGTAATGGAGTAAGAGTGCCAAAAGGTTGCAGTTAGTTCACTAGAATAAAAGACACTGTCTCTGAGTCAGAGCTGCCAGGTTGATAATTATTAACATATAAAAGCAGATGCGCGGTTTAAGGCAAAAGGGGCGGGGCGGGGGCAGGTCCACGGTAGACAATGAGGGAGGGTCTCTGCCGACCGCCTGCTGCTTATTGTTCCGGCACTAGAGGCTGCAGCCTGTAGCCGCCTCCTCCTCCAGGGCTTCTATCCTTTCATCCCTCGGTCTCACTTGGGACCTTCCGAGTGACCCAGCGCTGTCCCCCGGGTCGCCGGGACGCCAGTCCCAGCCGCAGCCGCCCTTCGCTGACCGCCCTCTCTCTGCTTTGCAGGTTGGCAGCTTTGCGCCCGAGGGTGTCGCGAGCCGAGGCGGCGAGGACCGAGCGCCTCTGGCCCAGCCAGCCGGGCGGGCTGCGGCGCGGGCTGCAGCGCTAACCGCCCCCACGCTGGGCACTGGGCGTACGCGCTTCGGGCTGCAGGCGGAGGGGCGGCGGCGGCGGCGGCGGCGGCAGCGGCGGAGGGGATGCGCCCAGGACGCGCAAGGCTCCTGCCGCGAGCTGCCAACCCGAGGTGGACCCTAAGGGCTCATCGCGGGACCGCGCGGACCCCTGCCCTCCGGGGCACGCGGCTGAGGAGCCTCGGGGCCGCGTCTGCGGTCAGGATGCGCTGGGCACCTCCCTGCTGGTGAGGATGCCCTACTGCGCGGCTCCGCGTCCCCAGCCCCGGTCCCTGGTGGGCACGACTGCCTGGGCCCGGCTTCGGCCCCTCCTGCCGGTGGATGAAAAGGGCCGGAGTCCTTGAGTGCGACCGGCGATCGAATCTGAATTCTAAGAGCCATGGAAGGAGGCACTGGGCTGCAGCCCCAGGCGGGAGAGCAGCTGGAGGCCAGCGCCAGAGTAGGGGCGGTCCAAGAGAAGTGCGAACCCGAGACCTTTAGGTCCAAGAGTTTACCCGCCCTGAACAGCGCCTCCTGCAGGCCAGACCTGAATCCTGCCGGAGAAGACTCCAAGCCCGCCTTTGGCCATCAGGGGTTGAAGCCAGGCCCTGGCCCGCGGGCCCCCAGCCCCTCCGCCCCGTCTACTTCGGCAGAGATGGCAGGGCTGGTGGAAAGTCACCACAGGGTGGAAATCGGCAAACCCATATCGGTGTCGTCCACTTTGGCCATGCTCCAGGGCAGAAGGTGCCTCTATGTGGTCCTCACCGATTCCCGTTGTTTCCTGGTTTGCATGTGCTTTCTGACCTTCATTCAGGCGTTAATGGTCTCCGGGTACCTGAGCAGTGTCATCACCACCATCGAAAGGCGCTACAGTCTGAAGAGTTCCGAGTCAGGGCTGCTGGTCAGCTGCTTTGACATCGGGAGCCTGGTGGTGGTAGTGTTCGTCAGCTACTTTGGCGGCCGGGGGCGGCGGCCCCTGTGGCTGGCCGTGGGGGGACTCCTCATTGCCCTGGGGGCCGCCCTCTTCGCTTTACCTCACTTCATCTCGCCCGCCTACCAGATCCAAGAGCTGAACGCCTCGGCGGCCAACTACGGCCTGTGTCAGAATGGCAACTCCTCGGCCACGACGGAGCCTCCCACCTGCCTCAAGGACTCGGGGGGAAACAGTCACTGGGTCTATGTGGCTTTATTCGTTTGCGCGCAGATTCTCATTGGAATGGGCTCCACACCTATTTATACCCTGGGACCAACCTACTTAGACGACAATGTCAAGAAAGAAAATGCATCCTTGTACCTAGGTAAGACTTTCCTCTCAGATAAGCTTGGACTCAAAAATCAAAAGGAAGCACTTTCACATTTTACTGGATGTTGTATATTGTATATAATATATGGCGTTATATCATATATATGCATTAAGCTTCAGTTTATTTTTTGTTTTCTTTTTCTTTTTTTTTGGCCTTAGTGTGGTGTGTTTTCTGTTTGGGAAAGAATCAAATAGTTGAGCGTTCTTTGAACTAATTTTCAGACTCACACTTGTCTTTTCCCAAGTAATACAAACTTTTAACTGTGGGGTGGTGCTTCTCTCTGTTGCTGCCTATCTTTGGAAAAGCTCGAATTTATCAAGCTTATCTTCTCAAAGCTGTCCTTCTAGAAGGGTCAGGAAGGAATAGAAGTAACTGCTGTGTGTGGAATAGGGTTATTTACTACTTTCATCCACTGCTGCTTCTCGTTCCTGCCCCCAAGAGCAGAGTTAGTGGAGAACCCAGACTACATGAAACACACTTTATTGACTTCACCTCTCTATTCATTACGTATCGTCTGCGTCACTATTTAAAAAAAAAAACTTGAATGATACTGAATGACTAGATTATCTTTATACAGAAGCGACAAAACGGGTTGTAAAATTTATCCAAAACGATTTTTGTTGTTGGTTTGAAGACCCTCAGTTACACGATATTGGGGGAAACATCATTACTATTTTCTGAAAAGCAGTACTCTTGGACAGTGAAAGGGCAGTGAAAGTGATACTCAATGAAGAGGGCTATGCTTTTTGCTCAGTATGACTGCTGTCCCCAGAATCGGTTACAGAGGGTGTCTGAGCCATTTATAGTCCCCAGTAACTGGCCCAAATGCATCAGGACAAGAGTTTTATAATTTGTTTTTATTATTAAATGTAAGAGAAAGAAATTTCTATTCAGACAGAGAGGAATAGCTTGCTTGTTACTTTGCCTCCATGTTTTCTAACATTTGTTATGACAAATTTTCAAACATCCAGGAAAGTTGAAACAATAGTTCAGTGAACGTCAGTATATCCACCACCTAGACTCAATAATTGTTCACTTTATCATATTTAATTTATCAGTTAGTGTGTGTGTATAGAAATATATATATTTTTGGATGGGAGATTAAGCCCTTTGAAAGTAATTGTATACACCTTTAGGCTTCAGCACATATCTTCTGAAAATAAGGACATTCTTTTACATAACTCAGGAGCTTAAACGTCCTAAGAAAGCTAATAACCATTCCATATGGTCATCAAATTCCAGTCCATATTCAAATTTCCTTAATTGTCCACTCAGAGTCTTTTTTAGCTATATACATTTTCTTTTAAAAAAATTTTATTGCTGATATTTATTTTTTTAAAGTAATTTTAATTAATTAATTAATTGGCTCCGTTGGGTCTTCGTTGCTGCGCACGGGTTTTCTCTAGTTGCTCCGAGCAGGGGCTACTCTTCGTTGGGGTGCACCGGCTTCTCATTGCGGTGACTTCTCTTGTTGCCAAGCATGGGCTCTAGGCGTGTGGGCTTCAGTTGTTGTGGCACGTGGGCTCAGTAGTTGTGGCTCACGGGCTGTAGAGCACAGGCTCTGTAGTTGTGGTGCATGGGCTTAGTTGCTCCGCTGCATGTGGGATCTTCCCAGACCAGTGGTCTACCCTGTGTCCCCTGCATTGGCAGGCGGATTCTTAACCACTGTGCCACTAGGGAAGTCTGCTACATACATTTTCAAACCAGGAGCCAGTTGAGATTCATTTATACATTGCATTTGGCTGTTTGCCTTCTTAGCATTTGCTAAACTAGAACAGTGCCTCAACTTTTTTCTTTCTCTACCACATAGAACTTTTGAAGTGACAAGGCTAGTTGATTTGTGGAATGTTCCACATTCTAGATTAATCTGATTATTCCCTCGTGGTGTCACTTACCTTGTTCCTCCATTCCCTATATTTCTTGTAAACCGGGAGTTCAGTCTAAAGGTGTAATTCGATTCAGACGAAACGTTTTCGGCCAGGTTACTTCATAGGTGACACTCCGTGTTTTCGATTAGATGCATCTGGCCATTCATTAGTGTTGCTGAGTTTAATCACTTAGTTGCGTGGGTGATTGCCAGGTCTTCCCATTGCAAACATACATTTCTCTCTTTGAAAATAATCAGCAATCTTTAGAGTGACATCTTGACCCTGTAAATATCCCAATTGTTTTCTTTATTCTTACTGATCTTTTCCTCCATTTACTTTGAAAACTCAGGTCTCCCTTCCATCCCGCTTCTAGGTACCATTGACACAAATCTGCTTCCTGAAAAACATAAGCAGAGCCCCACGCAAAGAGAGAACATCCACTAGTAAGAGCCCTGAGATTTAACTTGTCTGGTAGTGGTTGCCCATCAAGAATGAAAAGAGCAAGTACGTATTCTGTGCTGAGCACTGTACTCCTTATGGCAAGGCCGAAAATGAGACACAATCCCAGCAACTGAGGTGCCTTCAATGTAATGAAGAAATATTTCCACTTTAAGGTAACAAGTGAATTGACATGTGAAAGGGGAAGAAACTTCTACAAATGGGATTTGCTCCCTCCTCCCTCCTTCACCTACCACCTCCTCCTCTCTTTCTTTAGATATTGACTAATAATTGGTTTTTTTGAAAACATTTTTTTAAATTTTTTTTGCTGTACGCAGGCCTCTCACTGTTGTGGCCTCTCCCGTTGCGGAGCACAGGCTCCGGATGCTCAGGCTCAGCGGCCATGGCTCACGGGCCCAGCCACTCTGCGGCACGTGGGATCTTCCCGGACCGGGGCACGAACCCGTGTCCCCTGCATCGGCAGGCGGACTCTCAACCACTGCGCCACCAGGGAAGCCCATTTTGATGAATGCCTTAGGACACATTCTTTGGGAATCTCTTGAGAATTCTGCTTTGTATTACATGGCTCTCAGTAAAAGCTCCAGTGGTTTTGAGTACCAGGAATCTTACCTGTATTCTTTGATTTAATGTTCTTAATGGCCTTATGAGATGGGAATTGTTTTCCCTGTTTTATGAATGAGGAAACTAAGGCTCAGAGAATTTAAGTGGCTTGCTTATGGGCGTCAAACCCACGCCTGTCTGACCCCAGAGACCTTGAACTTCCCTCCACGCCGCATGCTTTTTGGCAAGAGGATCTGAAAGTCAACTGAAACCAAAAGATGGGCCACGTTCAGTAGAATTCTGAGTATGGTGCAGAAGGGTGCGGAACTGGCCTAAAGTCATCAAAACGTGATCAAAACGAGACCATTCTTTAGACCTTTTAAAGCAGCTTTTACAGGTTACCTCCATACAAATTCAAATCAGGGAGACTACTATATTCTTAGAACACGAGCAGTGTTAACCTATTATCACATGGGATTTTTCCTAATAAATAACTGGTTATATATCTTTGTTATTTTCTGCAGAACTGTTCTTCTATATTACCTTGTCCACTCCCCACCCTTTTCTTAACTTTTTGGTCAGTCTTTCTAACTGATGACAACCCCAGAAGAAGAAGGGGGAAAAAAAGCAGGTAGCAGATTAGGAATTGCAGGCAGGAGCAAATATCTGAATTAAAGTAGAAACCATTGAAATGGAATGTAAATGTATACCTTAATCTTTTGAAAGTTCCGGTGTTAACATTCTGGCAGCTTTCAGCGTAGAAGAGATGTGGTCGTAGATGAGATCCAGCGGTCTTTGCACCCATTCAATGCCCCAACTCCTTCTGCAAGGAGAGAGGCTCAGCGTTGACCCAGAGCATAGAGAAAGCTTTGTAGTTATGAAGAAGTAAGGTTAGCAAGTGCACCATGGTTTGTAATTGTATCTCAAGGAGAGAGAGAAAGTGTGACCTTTTGCAGGGCAAGAAGTTCATGAACCAAACAGGGAAGCAAGAGAGAATGGCTAACCAGGTGGAAAAAGGAAGAAAAATGACGCTTTTCTAGAATAGAAAGCCACGACTCCGATTGGGTGATTTTCAGGATAGGTGAGGATTGGTAATGGGCCAGCCGTTGGCCAAGCGGTGTGGGGACAGCCACCCCACCTCCCTGGTGTGTCCCCTGTCACTTCACACCCCAGAGAAGGGTCGGAGTCGGGACAGTGCCTTAGAAAGAGCACCGGACGAGGCCGATCTGTATTTTCGTCTGGCTCTACCTGTGACTGGTCAGGAGACAGATCTGATTGTAGACAAATCCCTTAACTTCTCCCAGCCTCTGTCTCCACCTGGGGATTGTTACATTTGTTTCCCGCACGGTAATATTTTGAGCAGCAAATGGGATTACATGTGGGTAAGCACTGGGCCAACTGGAAGCGGCAGCACTTTGCTGTGTTAGAAGCGAATTCAGACTCATCGTGGAGAGTGGGCAGAGTGAAGAGCGGAAGAGATATTCTGCTTCATCTGAGCACCAAAACCTTTAAACATATCTCTTTACAATTGGGAAAAAGGAAAGAAGCATTATGTAGGAAATTAAAACTTTGTATGGGAAATCACTCCTTAGACATTGTACAGGACAATTTTTTTTTTTTTAGAAGATGTTGGGGCTAGGAGTTTATTAATTAATTAATTTATTTCTGCTGTGTTGGGTCTTCGTTTCTGTGCGAGGGCTTTCTCTAGTTGCGGCGAGCGGGGGCCACTCTATATCGCGGTGCGCGGGCCTCTCACTATCGCGGCCTCTCTTGTTGCGGAGCACGGGCTCCAGACGTGCAGGCTCAGTAGTTGTGGCGCACGGGCCCAGTTGCTCCGTGGCATGTGGAATCCTCCCAGACCAGGTCTCGAACCCGTGTCCCCTGCATTGGCAGGCGGAGTCTTAACCACTGTGCCATCAGGGAAGCCCCATAATCGCACTATTAAATAGACTTACCCATCCAGCCGCCGGCAAAGCTGGACCTCAACAGGGTGGCAGCCCTGGGTCTCCCCACGTGACCTGTGGTCGAGGGGTGTGTGTGCAAGACTTGTGCTGAAAAGGAGCAGGGGAGAATTTTTACGCCCCGTGTGCACACTCACCTCCAAGAGGCAAAGAGGAGGAAATGAAC